GTGCCACGCTGCTGGGGACAGCGTCTTCCCCCTTGTGCCTGCTTCTGCATCTTAAAAAGCAGCATTTCACAGCAGTTCCACGCTGAGTGTGGCGGCTGCCGTCCCGTGACCTTCGTCTCCTGTTTTTTGTAGGGTCCATGTTTTAAGAGTGTTTTTTCTTTAATTTTTTAAAATTATTTTGGGGAAAAAAGACCAAAGAAGAACAGTATTTCATGCCATATCAAAATTACATGCAACGAGAATGGCAGTGTCTATAAATAACGTTTTATGGGAGCACAGCCATGCTCCTCATTCAGGTTCTGTCCATGGCGACAAAGGGCAGGGCTGAGTGGCCGTGACACAGGCTGTCTGACCCACGAAGCTGAAGACATTTACTGTCCGGCCCTTTACAGAAAAATGTGTCAACTTCATCCTAGACAAACTGTAAATTTCAGAAAAACAACAGCAACAACAAAAGCCAACCAACGGAAACCCTTGGTACACTTTTACTCAGACTTCAACACACGTGTGTTCCCTTCCAAAGACGTCTGTATTTATACCCATCCTGAACACTCGCCAGCTTTGTGCCTCCATGTCCTCATCTGTAAAATGGGGACAGTGGCATTTCCAACCTCACTGGGTTGCTGAAAAGATTAATTGTGTGTATATCTGCAAAGCACACGGAACACAGTTTCTCTTGCTCCGTGTGTGTATGAAGAACGCAAGCTATGTGCATATCAGATGTACACAGACATTTAATGTTTAATGTTAGTACATGATACCTTATGCATGCACATCTTAGGAAGTGATTATTTCATACATGAAGTATTTAAAGTGATTTTTTATTATGCACAGTATACAGCCCATTCCTCCAATTTCTTCAAATATTCAATAACCACTGTTTCATAAGCATAACTTAAATTTTTTTAACCATAAAAGTAAAGCACATTATAAATAGAAAAAGCAGAGGGGGGTTTTAGGGCAGTGAAACTAGTCTGCATGATATTATACTGGTGGATGCATGACAGTATGTGTTTGTCAGAATCCATAGAACCGTACACGAGAGTGAACCCTAGTGTAAGCTACAGACTTCAGTTAGTGATGACGTAGCAGTGTTCATGCGTCAGTTGTAACAGATGTACACACCGACGGCAGAGCTGAGTAACAGGGGAACTCTGTGTGTCTACAGTCCTGTGTCTTGGGAGAGCCCCTTCCTTGCTCGCAAGTGGCCATCTTCTCGTGTGTTCTCACCTGGCAGAGAGGAGACGGAGTAAGAGCCGGAGTAAGAGCCGGCTCTCCTCTCTCTTCTTATAAGGGCACTAATCCCAGTCCTGCGGGCTGCACCCTCACGGCCTCATCGCCTCCCAGAGGGCCCACCTCCAAACACCATCCCACTGGCAATCCGGGTTTCAACATATGAATTTGGGGAGGACACAAACCTTCAGCTCATAAAACACACGAATGTTCATAACAACCCTCTCTTCACAGCAGCCAGAAGGTGGAAACAACCCAAATGTCCACTGAGGGATGAACAGATAAACAAAACATGGTCCACCTACCTACTGGATCTAGCAACTATGAAAAGAGACAAAGTAGTGACAGAGGCTAATGAGAACGGGGTCTGTTTTGGGGCTGGGGGATGAAGATGTTCTGGAACCAGGTGCAGGTGACAGGGGTGAGACACTGCACGTGCTAAATGCCAAAGAATCCTGACACTTTTAAATGGCTACTTCTATGCCAGGTGAATTTTATCTCCATTTGATAAATTTAAGTGTGGAAAGATACATTAAAAGCTCTAAAAATAACCACAAAATAGCAGCCTGGATGACAAAAAAAATGTACAAGTGCAGTGACTGTACATATGGAAACTGAATTTAAATA